TGCGCTAACTGCTCAGTTTGCGGTACATGTTCCATGCATACATTGACAGTACCCCAGGGCACATCGCGAGGCGATCCAGGCGTATCGTCAACCATGCACTGCTATGCTACTCTTGCTCTCACCATGTCCCCCATCCCCTTCCGTCTCCCTCTGTCCCTCTTCATCCATCTCACCATCCTTCTTCAACCTCTTTCAACCCTCCTGCTTCCTCCCTCTCCTCTCCTCCCCCCCTTCCACCTTTGCCCTCCCCTTTTCCCTTCCCCACTCTCACCATTCTCCCACCTCCCACTCCCGTTCCCCCTTCCCCTTCCCCGCTCCAACTCTTCTCCAGCCCCCGGCCATTCTCATCCCAACCTCCCAAGCTCACCTCAACTCTAAGGTTCATCAACGCGTGATGCACCCCCAAGAGATTAAGTAGCACCGACAGCTGCGGACTAAGAAGCAGCCTCGCCACGTCAGCAAAGACGAGGCGCGAGCACCCGAGGAGGCCCAGCGCGACCTGATACTCCTTAACCTCCAGCGAATCGTGGCGCGCTGCTGACGTCACTAGTGACGTCACTAGCGCCGCCGTCTCCCCCACTGCTGCTGCGCGCTGGCGGAAGCGTTGGCGCCAGGAGGAGGGGAGGGGGCGCTCTGAAGCGGGATTGCGCCAGGAGGAGGGGAGGGGGAGCTGCGGGGAAACGGGGGGAGGAATATGGAAGTCGGGGGGAAGAGGGGGAGAGGGGGGAAAGCGGGTGGAGGAGGGTGGGGCGTGGGAAAGTGGGGGTGAGAGAAGAAGAAGAAGCGGAGATGGTTGCTTGAACGGCGGGAGGAGGAGGTTCAGAGAGAGGAGAGCGAGGGAAAGACGGAGGGATGGGATGTGTTGTGGGACGAGTTGAATTGAAATTGATTTGGAAGAAGCTGACGGAAGCAGCCTATAGGATGCTTGGAATTACGAGCACATACAAGCCCACATCGATTGCACATCGTCCCACGCAACACCACATGGGTCCGCAGGGGGCCATCCCCATGGTCTCACCTTAGTCTCTTCTGGGTCAGCACGATAGGAACCAGCGGCGCGAGGGAGGATACTTGCTGTTGGCGACGGTGGCGATGCGGAGAGGAAGGATTCCGTCGGAGATGAACCGGCAGGAGAAGAGTCAACGCCGTCATCGTCATCGTCATCGTCAACGTCAACGTTAACGTCAACTTCGCCGCGACGGCTCGCGTCGCCTGCGCTGTCCCAGTCCGCCACGTCTCCGTCCCATCGCGCCGCGTACAGCGCTCGCCAAACCGCATCGCTGCTGCACGCGGCTCGCCAGCCCGTGCTGCAGGCGGAAAGGTGATGCAAGCTGCTGGGCGGAAGTCTTTTCAAGACAAGATAGATGACGTCAGCGGGTAAGTCGGAAAGTGTGGTGGAGGAGCGAGGGATGTAACTACTCGGCCACGTCATCATGAGGATGGCTAAGTGGTAACGCTAACGGTAACGAGTGTCCCGACTTTATTACTTTAACAAAAAAGCGTTTCCGCTGCCGCTGTGGTGACGCGTTGTGACGGTCGTTCAATGAGAAATGAAGTATCGTGAAGGCGATTTCGTGTTTTTGTTTTTTACTCGTGAACTACATTACAATAGCATCTCCACAAGAGTGGCGTGGAAGAATACTGTTAATATTTCGAAGAGGTATCAAACTGCGACTTTAATTGCAGGAGGTGACACGAGAAACGAGGAAGAAGGTTCAACGCATGAAGCAATTCAGCAGATTCGTGGGTGCATCCCAGTACCAGCAGCGGTATTCGCGATGGGTGGGGAAAGCAGGCCCAAAAAACCAGGGAATGTAGACGGCTCGTCGAACGTTGGAAGCAAATGGGTGGACAAGCAAAGGAGCTAAAAAACGGGTTCTACATTATGCGATGCGACTGCATGCGGGAAACGCCCAGGAACAGAAATGGGCGAAACAACTACTGTAGGCGCAATTGTTCTGAGGCTGGAGGCTGTGGATGTGCGGTGGCAAGTGTTTGTCAAAACAAGTCATCACCACCAAGGGCGAGGTGTGGGGGAAGGAAGAGGGGAAGGTGGAAACGCGCTGCGTGCAGGTTGAGAGAATGTGGACCTGGGTAGGGGACATCGAGGTTCAAAATTTTCCACTCCAAGCTATTCTCGTTGAAAAAATCGAGAACTTAACGGACTACATATGGAGCGCGACTAGCGTGGAACTTAACGGATATATAGAGGAGGGTGAAAGCATGTGGAGACTATACAAGTTCAGGGCTGAAGCTGGGTAACTTTGCATGACAAAACGTGCTCAGCACACTCGAGGTAGACATTGGCCTGAAATCATCAACCATTGCGCTACGCACACGTGGTATGCGCTGCTGGCCGAAGGTATCGAAACGTCAGCATGAGTTATGGTGAGGTGTTAGTACAAGTGATGCGTTTGTAGTATGCTCCGATAAATGTTCAGAATGCTAGTAGATTAACCAGTCAGTCTCGTTCTTGTTTATATACTAAAGCATTATTTTCTATGAGCTATGTACAGTCATTCCAGCACTGGTGTCATTTTTCCACTTCAATTTCCAGCCTGTGAAGCTTGCGGTTCCAGCTGTCTTGTGGCAGGTGTTTTCTTGTTCAGTTGCAACGGGCGGGATAGCAGCCTGTGGGCAGTTGAGGTTTGCTCTAAAAAGTTTCACAAGTAAAGAACTTGAGAGGTCTGGCTGGAATGGGAATCCGGCAAGCCAGGTCAGACTGCAAGATCCCAAGTCATCCCAGTTTCGGCCAGACCTTAGGACGCGGTGCAGATCGTCCCGATCTGAGTGAGATTGCGTCAGATTGGGGCGATCCACCATTTCTAAGAAGCCGCAAGGGTAATTTGAGGCGATCGCATGCAATCGGGGCCAATCTGTCGATTGCAATCGGAAATCCGATCGATTGCAATCGATAGATTGGCTCAGATCGCGTGGCCCGGCGACAGTTGCGAACAGTAACATTCTTGACGAATTAAAACACTGCTCGCAGCACCATCGGATATCGCGACCTCGAAGGCATGGAAGAATCGGTAACCCAAAATGGGGCTACATTGTAATTGCGCGAGACGCAAATGTCGCCAAGTGTCGCAAACTTTGTAGGGAAGGAACGGGTGACTAGCGTAGAGCTCACATTGCTAGTTCTCACTTACTTCCTCGAAGTTCAAGGTCAGATCGCGCGGCTCGGGAAGCAAACGACAGATTGCCTCCGATTGGGACAATCCCACCCAATCCGATCCGATCCGACCCGATCGGACGATCTGAGGCAATCGATTGCCCGATCTGCACCGCGTCCTTACAGAAGTAAACACCCAAAGGTCAGTAAGTCATGGTTTCGGGCAGACCATACAGTCCTCTACACCGCTATTCACACAAATTTCCACAGGCCAGGACCTTGGGCTCCACTTCGAATCACGAACATTGATGTTGTCGCGAGGTTGCCGAGATTGCGGTTCGGAGCCACACCTCAGGCCGCAACTTGGCATCGTTCCTTCATGTGATCAGTGCTGGCTGAGCCTTTTCGTTTGTTCACAGAAAACTGAAAGGTTCAATGTGGTGCGCAATGGTCTAAAAAGGTTGAAATAAAAAACCGCTTCATAACGTTGATGACCGTGTTTTATCGCGTTCAACCGATAACCATGAAGAAATAAGCATCACCCGCCCTCAAGTAGCCGTTGTGGAAAGAAACACGGAAAAGCAGAGTGAAGATTCGCAGTTGGAAATCCAAATGCCAGCGGAATGGCTTGCTTGGCTGACACGGCCATGACCGGAGAAGGCAAAGCAACTCAACGCAACCTATGGCTACCTGGCTGTCTGCGCCAACTACGGCGTCCCAATCTCCCTTTTTACTTCGCAACCCTCCAAGGTCGCTCATCAGATCATGGTTCTTCCACGATTCCATCCGTGGTCGTCATGTTGACACGCATGGATGCATGGTGCTTTGCTGATTTCGCTTGTAACTTCGTGTTGTAATTAGCAACCACCATCGCGCCATCCAATTTCTCCAACATGATGAGTTCAGTTCAGTTCAGTTCAGTTCAGTTCAGTGAGAAGCTTTTCACACTCCGTTCGACTCATCAGCAGTGACCACCTTGGTCACCGCGAGCGACCATGCCAGCCACTTCCCGCAACAAGGTCTCAACCTGTGTCTGTAGTCTGCACACATCGAAAAGCTTCTAGACTACCAACGTTCTTCAGACAAGTGTCCGGTTTCCGTCGCACTGAAAACAAAGCACATTGTGCTATCCTCGACATATGCTCGAACACCACCACTACTACTAGTAGATCTGTGGTTGTGAATTCCTGAGTTCCTCTCCGCTCTCTCTCTCTCTCTCTCTCTCTCTCTCTCTCTCTCTCTCTCTCTCTCTCTCTCTCTCTCTCTCTCTCTCTCTCTCTCTCTCTCTCTCTCTCTCTCTCTCTCTCTCTCTCTCTCTCACTCTCTCTCTCTCTCTCTCTCTCTCTCTATCACACACCAAGATAGAATAATGGTAGTAGTAGGTCGAACCTAGTTTTGCTCTTCGCGCGCTCTCACGACCGTCTCCGTCTCGCAGATCCCAAGGTCGCCCACCCCATCGTGAAAATTCCCTGGTTGCCGCGCGAATCTCGTGACCTTGCTGCGCCATCGGGACCTGGCTTCAAAGAACTGAATTCATCAATTGGTTGAGTAGACAAGCGGCGAATTCGACCAGCCTTTCTAACCGAGTCGAGTCTCATCATCGTACGGCCCGCCGCCTGCCAGGCAAAAATTCCTAGTGTGAATCCACCCCCAGTTACTCAACAACCAAACAGATATTCTCAACTCCGCGTTTCTCTCCTCATGTGCACCGTCGGATCGTCGCGAGCTGACGCCCTTCCTCCCCATCCGCACCATCCTTCAGTCGCACCGTACCGCTGCGGACAGGCGGACCCAGGGCCTCGTACTACGAGTAGAACGATGCGCGCGTCTCCAGCTCGCGCTGGCAACCCACGCGACGCCGATCCGATTGAAACCCTCCGCCGTGATGATCGCCGGAAATCGCGGGTACGTGTCGACGAACAAGAGTCGTCGTCAATCCGAGCGGCGATTTCGTCGCCGTCGCGAAGGATCGCGAAAACTTCCAATGTTACCTCCGGCAGCAACGGTCACAAATCGACCATGCGCGGCGGGATTCCGAATCCCGTGGTTAATGTGGAGTTGAGTCCCCCCCGGCACCGGCGCGTGCGATCCGGCCCGGTAAGCCTGAACATGGAAGGCGAGCGGAAAACGGCCGCGCGAGTCGGCGGGCGCGAGCGCAGGTCCGCGGGGAGAGCAACGCCGGGGGGAAAGGCGGCTCAGGCGGACGTAGGGAGCATCGCGTGGGCCGCTTGGCAGCAGCAGCAGCAGCAGGAGAAGCTATGGCAGCAGAATCAGGGAGGGGGACTCGCAGCAGGGGAAAGCGGACCGAGCAGCGGAGAGGAAGGAGAGGTGGAATATGAGGGGGAGGATGAGGACAGGGGAGGGGAGAGAGGGTCTGGTAGGAGGGAAGGGAGGAGGCAAAGGGGCGAGAATCGAAATGTGAGTGGTGAGATTGATCTAGAGCTGTATGGAAAGATTCGTGGGGTGGATAGGAGTCACCACAGGCGGAGTCAGAGCACGGGTGATGCGTTGAGAAGCAAGCTACCGGCTTGTTCGTCCTCGTCATCGTCGTCTTCCACTTTATCTTCAAGTTCCTCCTCTCCTTCCACTTCGTCGTCCTTCTCGTCTTCATCGTCGTCATCGTCCTCCTCTTCTTTTGCATCTCACTCTGACAACACGCCTAGTAGCTCCTCCGTTAGTACTTGCTCCTCTTCGTTGTCCTCCTCCTCCTTGTCCTCCTCCTCCTCCCCCTCTGCACCTCCATTGTCTCCTCCTCCTCCTCCTCCGTTTCTCGCGGCGAATCCACGCGTCCACCTACTCATCCCGCCTCTACCCCACCCACCTCCATCCCGTCTTTAAACCTCACGAACTTGCATCACCCAAGCCTGGAACAGCAACAGAAGGAGGAGGCAGCGGCGGAGGCGGAGGCGGCGGCGGAGGAGGAGGAGGAGGAGGAGGAGGAGGAGGAGGAGGAGGAGGAGGAGGAGGAGGAGGAGGAGGAGGAGGAGGAGGAGGAGGAGGAGGAGGGGGAGGAGGAGGGGGAGGAGGAGGAGGAGGAGGAGGAGGGGGAGGAGGAAAGAAAGGAAGAGGAGGAGAGAAAGGAAGAGGAGGAGGGAGGTGAAAGGAAAACAGAAGGGGAGAGAGCAGGGAGATGCAGAGCGCGCAGGGTATCATTTCCTGATCAAGACTTATCCAAAGATTCCCAGCAATCATACCCTGATCAAGAGCGTTTGGCTGTGAGAGAGGAGGCATCAGCAGTGGGAATGAATAACAAGACACATAGGGACAGCGACAGTGCTGGCAACGGTGTCGAGAATGCTGCAGGAACGCCCTGGTCTCAGGGTGGTGGTGGTGGTGATGATTGTGCTGGTTCAGCCACGTATCACAACTCCGATACAAGCACCATCAGCACCAGCACTAGCAGCATCAGCATCAGCGGCACCAGCACCAGCGGCAGCACCAGCAGCAGCAGCAGCACCAGCAGCAGCACCAGCACCAGCAGCACCACCACCAGCAGCAGCAGCAGCAGCAGCAGCAGCAGCAGCAGCAGCAGCAGCAACCCCACATCTCTCAGCAGCATGAAAGCGCGCAAGCGGTGGCACGAGGCAGTGCGGCACGTCATACAGCTACAGCGCGTAGCACAGGCCATGATGGCCCCTGCGGAGGTCGCAGCAGCCGTGGGAGAACTCTCCGCGCTCTCCCTCTCCCGCCAAAGCACCCTCCTCACCTCCCGCATCTCCGCCTGCCGCCGCGCCCTCATACACTCCCGATCTGCCCTCGCGGGTAGAGATCTCGGTGTGAGAACTGGTGGGGAATCCAGTGTGGCGATGAGAGGTGGCGGCAGAGGGGGTGTGCTTACTGGTGGTGGTGGTGGTGGTGCTGCTGCTGCTGCTGCTGCTGGGAGTTAGTGACTTGGCGGTTGCGAGTCTGCTTGCGAGGAAGCAAGGGTTTCAAGGCACCAGGCTGGCCGAACGGCTGCTAGCCACGCCTTGGGATGATAACAGCAGCATCGGGGGGTTAACTGGCAGTGCTTCTGGTGCGGCTGGTGCTGCTTTTCCCAGATCTAAGACCATGGGAACAGGCATGGTGGGACACGGGGAGGGGATGAAGGGAGAGAGAGAGGAGGAGGTGCCCAGAAGAGTGGGTATGTTTCCTCGTGCTACCACTTTTGGTGCTGCTTCAGGAGGGGGAGGAGGCGCGGGGAGCAGGGGAGGACTAGGGTGGAAACGAACAATGAGTAAAAGCAGGCTGGGTAGGGTGAGTGGCGCTGGTGCTGGGGGAGAGGATGATGCAGAGTTAGGAGGAGACGGGTTGGGAAGCGGAGAGGATGGGAATTGCGAGAATGGTACGGATCCAACGGTTGAAGATTCTGATGATTTCTCATCACTCTCTCTTCTACCTCCGCTACCCCTTACATCATGTGAAAACCTCACACAGGGAAGGCCTCACTTTAAAAGCACCTCAGCTTCTCAGGTGGTGTCCCAAAAGCAAAAGCCGCCACTGCCGCCAAGTGAATCAGCAACACAAGGAGCGTCTCTCTCTAGAAGCAGCTCTAACCGGGGCAGGGAAAGCGCAGTGAGTTGCACAGCAGGAGAAGCTGCTGTGCACGCATGTACAGCAGCATGCCAAGCAGCAGAAGGGGAGGGGCCAAGCTGTCAGGGGGACGGCCACGTGGGTCATGGGGGTGGGTTGTGTGGAAACGCGAGTGGACCCAGCAGTGGCCACGTCAGCAGGAGTCAGCAGCTGCGCACGCTGACGCTGCAGCGAATCGCGTCGTTCCGGAGTGCCAGCCTGGCGAGAGGCACGCAGGGGGCGGGAGGCGGAGGAGGGGAGTCCGAGGAGAAGGAGGGGACGGATGCGAAGGGGGATGAACTGACAGATGCTCGTGACTGCAGTGGTGGTGGTGCTGGTGCTGCTGGTGCTGGTGCTGCTGCTGCTGCTGCTGGTGGTGATGGCGGTGGTGGTTGCGATGGGGACGTTAAAAAGCGGCCTCCCCCATTAAAGCTGGAAGAGCTGATGGGAGTCACAGGGGAGGAAGAGGATGCGGAGGAGGAGCAAGAGGAGGAGGAGGAAGATTGGGAGGAGGAGGAAGGGGAAGGGAAAATTCGCGGTGGTGGTATTGGTGATTCGTATACCCGTGGTTCTGCTATTTCTGGTGCAGGTTCTGGTGCAGCTGGTGCTGATTCGGGAATACGGGAGATTAGCTACAGGCTGGGGCTTGCAACGAGCAGACGAGCACAGAGCATTAGCATCAGCGCCAGCAGCAGCAAGAGCAACGACAGTGGCAGTGGCAGCAGCAGCAGGAGGGGTGAGAAGAGCAGGAGGAGGAGCAGTAACCTGAGTATGGATCGCAGCCGCAGGAACAGCATGGGAGACGTTCCGGAGATTGGATCTTCTCCAGCTTGGTTAACGGAGACCAGCAACGCAGACGATGCAGAGAGGGGAATTGGGAACACGGGAGCAGGAGCGGAGAGCAGGAGGGGGAGTAGAGTGGAGGAGAGTGGGAGTGGGAGTGGGAGTGGGGGTCGGAGTGGCATGGTGGCGGTGGTGGGTAGGGAAGACTTGGTCAGCAGCAGTGCGGGAAGCACCAGTAGCAGTGTGAGCAATAGTAGGAACGCCAGTCCTATGCCGCAGAGAGCTGGGAACTTGGCACAGAGAGCAAGCACGACAGATGGCGTCGTGGGAATGAAAACACGCGGGGAAGTCGCAGCCGCTGCTGCCGCCGCTGCTGCTGCTGCTGCTGGTGCTGGTGCTGGTGCTGCTGCTGGCACGGGTCGTAGTAATACCATTCTGAACCCATCTGCCCCTGTCCGCACTCCTGGCTCCTCCCTTCTCACCCCTTTCTTCTCTAAAGCTGGCATTCGCAGCATGCGCCTACCCAAGCATGCACCCAGCAAGCATCTCACAAGTGATCTCCCTCCTTCTGCCATAATCCCCAACTCCCTCTCCTCCACCTCTGCCCACTCCTCTGTTTCCTTACCTCACGTGCACGAAGGAGAGAGCAATTACAATGGAATGGGGGGGGGACGGGGGTGGCTAGCAGACGAGAAACCAGCAGGAGAAAGGACTCTAGATGCTAACGCCTCTCTTGCTGCCGCTGCAGCTGCCGCTGTTGCTGCTGTCGACGCCACTGCTGGCACAGGCAGGGAAGAAGAAGGAGGAGGAGGAGGAGGAGGAGGAGGAGGAGGAGGAGGAGGAGGAGGAGGAGGAGGAGGAGGAGGAGGAGGAGGAGGAGGAGGAGTTGACTCTAGACCCGACCTTTTGCCTGGTGCTGCTGCTGCTCCTGTTGCTCCCCGTCGTGGTGCTCTCCTGCATGCCTCTACCTTTTGGCATCGCAGCAGCAACTCTTCATCGCCCTCTCGCGCCCGCCCGGGGAAGCACAACAGGTCGTCCTCTCACTCGCTCTCACACTCCCCCTCACGAGCCCGCACCGTGCACGGCAGCAGCAGCAGCAGCAGCAGCAGCAAGGGTGACGCTAAGGCGTCTCAGGCATCCTCTGCTGCTGCTGCCCTGGCAAAGCTTGCAGGTCTTGCCGTCCCTCCCGCCTCGCCCTCCTCTTCATCCTCCTCCCAGTCCGTTACTCGTACCCGGGGTAATCGGGCAGTTCTGGCAGTGGCAGGTCACAGAATCGCAGGAAAGCTGGGAGTTAGAGGCTTGGGCGGGGCAGGAAGCAGCAGGGCGAGTGGGTCTGCGGGGACGAATGGAACCGTGATTCCTGGTGTGGGTTGTTGTTCCGGTCTTCCGTTGGTGCCTCGGGCGTTTGCCTATGCAGAGCTAGCACTTGCAACTGATGGGTTTGCCAAGCGAAATATGATTGGGTGCGGGGGGTTTGCACGCGTGTACAAGGGGAGGTTACTAGAGGGGAAGAAGGTGGCTATAAAGGTTATGAGGAAGAGTAGTAAGAGCGGTGAGGCTGAGTTTAAAGGGGAAATGAGTGCGTTGACTCATGTGAATCACCCTAGGATTGTCCAGCTGCTTGGGTTTTGCATAGAGAGGAATATGAGGATGTTGGTTTATCCGTTGCTGAGTAGAGGGAGTTTGGAAGGGTATTTAAAGGCGATAAGGGAAGGGGGGATGGTGGGAGAAGGGGCAGAGGGGGAGGAAGAAGAGGAGGAAGTGGACGAGGAGGAGGAAGAGGAAGGGGGGGAGGAAGGAGAGGAGGAGAGAGTGTCTGATGGGGTGGGAGCAGAGGAGGAGGGAGAAGGGATGGAAAAGAAGCTTAGTCCAAAGGAGGCGAAATCAGGAGAAGCAGCAGGACGGGGAAAACGCAGCAAGGCAGGGAGTGGCGGGAAGGGAGTGCGGTCAGAGGGCGAGAAACGAAAGGGGAAGAAGACAAAGAGCAAAGGAGGAGGGGGAGGAGGAGGAGGAGGAGGAGGAGGCAGCGAGTGGGTTATCTTGGGCGAGGAGAGTGCAGATCGCAGCAGGGTTGTGTGAGGCAGTGCATTACCTGCACCACGGCATGGGACGCACACTGCTGCACCGAGACCTCAAAGCCGCCAACGTGCTGCTCGATAGCAACTGGCAGCCCATGGTGAGATGATTCTTGAGTGTAGCATGGGCTGTTACTCACAACAACTTTGTTTGAGCCAGTAAATCACAACAGCCAAGGCTCGATACCTCAACGCTCCTCCCTCTTCCCCCCCTTACTTTGCTTCTCCTGCCTCTCCAATCTTCCTGCTCTCCATTCTCCTCCCTCTCTCTCTTCACCCCGCTCTCTCTTCCTCTACGTTCTCTCGTCCTTACTTCCCTCCTCCCTCTCATCCTCACCCCCCACTCCCCCAGCTCGCGGATTTCGGGCTGGCACTGTTTCTCGAGGAGGGAGGCGAGCAGGGCGAGGTGGAGGAGGTGCAGGGCACGCTGGGGTACATGGCGCCCGAGTACTTCATGTTCGGCGACATGGGGCCCTCCTCCGACGCCTATAGCCTCGGGATTGTCCTCCTTGAGATCATCACCGGGCGCCGCGCCATTGAGATGGATCCTCCCCCAGATGAGGACAACAACCTCGTCGTCTGGGTGAGTGGTGGGGAGAGGAGAGGGGAGGGGGGGGGGGGGTTGTGAGCTGTGTCAATGAATGTGCCATCGAGATGGACCCTCCCCCGGATGAGGACAACAACCTCGTCGTCTGGGTGAGTGTGGGCGTGGTGGGGGGGGGGGGGGGCTGGGTTAGCGGGGTTTATGCTAACCCGGTGGGCATGGCAATGGCTGAGCCATCGGGATGGACCCGCACCTGCAGGGCCCATGCTTCTCCAAACAACCTATACTCCCCCCCTAACCTATGTTCCCCAACCCAAACCCCAAACCCCCCTAACCACCGCCCTCGCAGGCACTCCCGAAGCTCAAGAGCATGCAGGTGGAGGCAATAGTGGACCCGTGCCTGCGGGGCCGCTACGACCGCGCGTCACTCTGGCGCACCGCTGCGGCTGCCATCATGTGCCTCCGAGAGGACCCCGCCTTCCGTCCCCCTTTTAACCTCCCAACCCCAATCTAACCCCAAGCCCCACCCAACCAATACCAACCAATACCTTTCAACGTTCCGAACCCTTTTCCAACCCAAACCCCCACCCCAACGCCCGCCTATCCAGGCGCTCCCGAAGCTCAAGAGCATGCAGGTGGAGGCAATTGTGGACCCGTGCCTGCTGGTGGCGGTACGACAGGGCATCGCTCTGGCGCACGGCTGCAGCCGCCATCATGTGTCTGCGAGAGGACCCCGCGTTTCGCCCCCCACTCAACCTCCTCGCTCGGTTCATTCGTGATGACTCCTTCGACAACCTCCAGGTGCCCGCCTTTGCAAGCTCTCCAGGCGTTCACTCACTTTCTCACCGTCTTTCACTCCCTCTTTCTCTCCCTTTACTGCTCGCTTCATTCGTGATGACTCCTTGACAACCCCCAGGTGCCTGCCTTCCCACTCTCTTTCACTCTCCTTCACTCTCCTTAAATCTCCTTCACTCTCTCTCACTTCACTCTCCTTCACTCTCGTTCACTCTCCTTCAATCTCCTACACTCTTCTTCACTCTCCTTCACTCTCCCCCCAGGTGCTTCTTGAGAAGTCTCAAAGGCATCGAAAGGCTTTCAGTCTCCTTCTCTCTCTCTCGAGTTCGCTCTCTTTCTCGAATTCAGGCTACCCTTTCACTCTTGCCTTCACATGCTTCACCTGGTTCACATGCTTCACCTGATTCACATGCTTCACGTGCTTCATATGCTTTCACTCTCTTGCTCACTGTCTTTCGACTCTCTTCCCTCCCCTCCCCTCCCCTCCCTCCCCTCCCCTCCCTCCCACCCACCAACCCATGCCCATCTGTCTCCTTTGCTCTTTTCCTTCAACCCCTTCTTATCTGCTGTCCAACTCCAACCCCCTCTTGCGTGCTACCTGCAGCTTCAGAGCAGGTGGCGTGAGATACTCGATACAACCACGCTGGAGGAACCCTCGACATCATGACTTTCACCGAAAAAAAACTTTTTTTGACAATTGGCAGGTCTGAGAGGCCTTGTTCGGGCCAATACACATGGTTTCTGGAATTGTGGTAGTATATTAAAATAAAGAATGACGTAGACATGAAAGTTGGTTCTGTTCGCACATTTTGGTATGCATGCATCCAGCATCGTCGAGTCACCACCCATCGTGTTCCCGCTAGTCCGGGCGTCGATTGTAGGCCTAATGTCAACAGAATTTACCCACCGGTAACTTGAATATATGTTTCATGCTCTGTTCAAGCAAACTCAACCAGTCATGCTGCTGCTTTCCACCAAGGAGAACGTTTTGGGGGGGGGGTTAAATAAAGTGATATACTAATTGCCTTGGTTGATTATCAGACAAACAACAGACTCAAAGCATGGCTCCCTCATCTAAGTTGTAGTTGTATTTTTTCCCTTGCTGCTGTCAAACATATATGCTGCATATTGTCTAGGCTGTAGTGGGGTAGCCCATATGGGGTACAGCCCAATTAGGGTTTACTACTTGTACTCCTGCATGCTGTTAGTTTACCATTCCTGCTGCTAGATTCTGACATGGTTTCAGAGCACTAAGGTCCGTAGGACCGTTTTTTTTTTTTCGGGCCCACCTACCGCTGCGGTTACCGCGCTACCCCACGTACCTGCCTGCCTTGCCTTGCCTTGTGACGTGCTGCACTATGTGCGCCGTCCAGCAGCCCTAGCGCTGCCTCCTGCTGCCCTAGGCCAGCGCGCTGCCCCTAGAGGCCCGTAAGGCCCACGCGCCGCCCCTAGAGGCCCGTAAGGCCCGCGCAGCCTGCTGCAGCCGCGCGCAGCCCGCACAGAGCCCACGCAGCCCGCGCCGAGCCGCGCACAGCCCGCTGCAGCCGCGCGCAGCCCGCACCGAGCCGCGCACAGCCCGCTGCAGCCGCGCGCAGCCCGCAGCTGCCGCGCGCAGCCCGCGCCGAGCCCACGCAGCCCGCGTCGAGCCGCGCGCGGCCTGCTACGGCCTCTCGGGGCCCGCGCGCGGCCCGCAGCAGCCCGCGCCGAGCCGCGCGCGGCCTGCTACTGCCTCGCGCGGCCCGCGCGCGGCCCGCAACAGCCCGCGCCGAGCCGCGCGCGGCCCGCTACTGCCTAGCGCGGCCGCGCGCGGCCTGCAGCAGCTCAGCGCGCTGTCAGCGCAGCCCGCGCCGAGCCGCGCGCGGCCCTCTGCCTCGGCCACGACCTGCCGCTGATGCGGCCCCGCCCTGCAGCTACCACGGCCCCGACCTGCCGCTGATGCGGCCCCGCTCTGCAGCTGCCACGGCCCCGACCTGCCGCTGACGCGGCCCCACCCTGCTACTGCCGCTGAAGCGGCCCCGCCCTGCAGCTGCTTCGGCCCTGCTCTGCAGCCGGTTTTGCGGCCCCGACGCCGCCGCTGTCGTGCGCCTACTCGGCCGCCGCCCGTCGAGCGCCGGCCCTGCTCGCCCGGTGAGCGCCTGCTCTCCCAGCCTTTGGTGAGCGCCTGCCTGCCTGCCTGACGGCCTGCCTGTCTGCCTGCCTGCCTGCCGGCCTGGCTGCCTGCCTGCCTGCCGGCCTGCCTGCCTGCGCGACTGCCTGCCTGCCTGCCGGCCTGCCTGCCTGCCTGCCGGCCTGCCTGTCTGTCTGCTTGCCTGCCTGCCTGCCTGCCGGCCTGCCTGTCTGTCTGCTTGCCTGCCTGCCTGCCTGCCTGTCTGCCTGCCTGCCTGGCTGCCTGCCTGCCTGCCGGCCTGCCTGCCTGCCTGCCTGCCTGCTTGCCTGCCTGCCTGCCGCGCCTGCCTTGCCCGCGCTACTGCTGCTGCTACTGCTACTGGCAGGTGGCCAGATGCAGCTCCAGCGACGTTCACGCGAGCCTCTCACGCCCCAGCAGCTTAGTGAGTGGTATACTAGCTGGGGTTGTCGCAGTAGCCGTCGTAGCTGTCGCCCTGGAGCTGGTCAGTTGGGAGCGTCTGGCAGTGGCCAGCTGCAGGGGCGTCCACGTGAGACACTTACGCCCCGGCAGCTCCAGGAGTGGTACGCTCAGTGTAGCAGGTCTACGCGTACAGTTCGCTGCCCGTACGTCATTCGCACAGGTGCTAGGACTGGTCAGCCTTGTGGGACGCTTGGTCACACACAGTCCCGCTGCTTCGCTCGTCTGAGCGACGACTGGCGCACAGTGTTTGGCGACGAGGCTGAGCTCCCCACCTGGCTGGAGCTGCATGGACAGAGGGTAGATATCTTTGCGCTTGACTATGATGCTATTCTCACTGCCATGTATGCATTGCCTACTAGTGCTGATCGTGCCTGTTATCTGTGCGTACCGCCTGACCCTGGTGAGGCTGCTGCTCTAGGTGCTAGTGCGTCTCCTGCTCTAGGTGCTGGTGAGGCTGCGGCTCCAGGTCGGTGCTAGTACGTCTACTGCTCTAGGTACTGGTGAGGCCGTGGCTTCAGGTGCTGGTGAGTCTGCTCTCTCTGGTACTGCGCCACCTACGGTCTCGCACACCTTCACCCTTGACTCAGGAGCTTCTCGCTCCTTCTTTCGCGACTGCACCACACTCACGCCGCTTAGTCGGCCAGTTCCAGTCTCCCTGGCGGACCCCTCCGGGGGTCCAGTCCTTGCCCACTATTCCACGGTTCTGCCGTGTCCGGCCGTCCCGTCCGGCTCGCTGTCAGGTCTTTACCTCCCCTCGTTCTCTACGAACTTGGTGAGTGGAGCTGACCTCCAGGATCGGGAGGTTGACCAGTTCACTCCTGCGAGTCAGCGAGTGACTCACTGTACGTGTGCTAGGACGGGCCGGCACTTGGCCACGTTCACCCGTGCACCTGGCTCGAGTCTGTACACACTGACCACTGAGTCCCCTCAGGTAGCTGCGTCTGCGTCTACGTCTGGTCAGCTGGCGGCCCCCTGCGAGTGTCGCGCTTTGTCGCACGACACTCTCTTGTGGCACCACCGTCTTGGTCACCCCTCCTTGCCTCGCCTGCGTAGCATGCACTCTCGCTCCCTGGCGTCTGGTCTTCCCAGGTCTCTGCCTGCCCTCCCTCCCTCGCCTGCGCCGCCCTGCATTCCTTGCGTCGAGGGGCGGCAGCGCGCCGCTCCTCACTCCTCCTCGTTTCCTCCCACAGAGGCTCCACTGCAGACGCTCCACCTGGACGTGTGGGGCCCAGCCCGCGTCCAGGGGCAGGGCCGCGAGCGGTACTTCCTGCTGGTCGTCGACGACTACACGCGTTACACCACGGTCTTCCCCTTGCGGAGCAAGGCGGATGTCCCTGCTGTTTTGATCCCCTGGATCCGCGCAGTTCGTCTCCAGCTCCGCGAGCGGTTCCGGTCGGACTTTCCTGTCCTGCGTCTGCACTCTGACAGAGGTGGTGAGTTCTCCTCTGACCTCTTGGCAGCCTACTGTGCGGAGCACGGCATCACCCAGTCGTTCACGCTTCCGGCCTCTCCACAGCAGAATGGGGTTGCTGAGCGTCGCATTGGCTTAGTCATGGAGGTCGCTCGTACCTCCATGATCCATGCGGCTGCCCCCCATTTCCTGTGGCCGTTTGCGGTCCGGTACGCCGCGCATCAGCTCAACCTCTGGCCCCGTGTCTCCTTGCCGGAGACCTCGCCCACACTGCTGTGGACGGGGAAGGTTGGTGATGCGTCGCGTTTCCGGGTCTGGGGTGCTCGTGCCTTTGTCCGCGATACCACCGCGGACAAGCTCTCCGCCCGCGCTGTTCCCTGTGTCTTCCTTGGCTTTGTCCCTGACGCGCCTGGTTGGCAGTTTTACCATCCCACCTCGCGCCGTGTCTTTGCGTCTCAGGACGTCACGTTCGACGAGTCGGTTCCCTTTTACCGTCTCTTCCCCTACCGCACTGCCCCGCTTCCCCCCCCGCCGCTCTTCCTCGCTCCAGGTGCTCCCCAGGTAGACCCCCTCCCCACTCCTGGTCCTGCTCCTTCAGGTGTTTCTCAGGTAGACCCTCCTCCCTTGACTGCGCCGGTTGAGGTCACTGGTGACTCAGGTCCTACTGAGGGTGGTCCTTCTCGGGGTGCTACTTCTAGGGGTGCTGAGCCTGGGGGTGCGG